ATTTAAATTGCAAGAAAGTAAAGATAAAGATAATTTGTGAGAACGTTGAGTTCTCTTATTGATTGTGGATCTTTTACAAGAGCACACATAGGGCATTTATAACTTTCTGCCGACGGTTACACACGACAATTACATACAATGGTTACTGAAAAAGAAATAACTTCCCAATCTTATTGGTGGTTACAAGAAGTTACACAATCTCCCATAATCTAGCGACACTTATCCACAAGAAGTTACATAACTAAAAATATAGTTACTCGGCAATTACATGTTGATGTCAATAACTTTATTGGATGGTTATCGATTCTCTTGAAGTTATCGACTATTCTGTTCATCGATGACTTCTGTTCATCAGACTCTGCTATTATTGACTAAGTCTATCACTTGTCGATCATAACCAAAAATTGGTCATTTTTTGGTGTCAACAAGTTTCATCTTACGTGAGACGGATATGGAAGTACAAATTCACCAAAGGAGTACATGATATTCAAGCAGCTCTGGTGGGGCTTCTTTGATGTGTGAGTCCGGATATTCACCAAATAGTGCGAGTGTGTAATGACACTCCAACGGGGCAGAAGTATTGGTGCAATCTTTCTAACTTGAATTAGATCTTGTACTTACTGAAATTTTCGTAGTAGAGAGAGCTGCCATGACACAAGCTGCAGAGACATTGGCAATCAGAGTCCCAAATGGAACCCATTTTAAGGCCGCGAATGATAACCACTGTTTCAAAAATCAATTTCTGGCCAAAATTGATTTTTCTATTTCTGTTTCTAGGAGGTTTCTAAGCTAAAAACATGTTTGATAATGACACAAAATTTCTATTTCGAAACAGAAATTTATTTGATAACGGCACAAAATTTCTCCTTCTCATGTGGCCGGCGAGTGGACGGCGGGCGGCGGACAATCGCTTCATTTCTTTTAGAAATAGAATAAAAAAATTAGAAAATCTGGAAAATTCCTAAAAATCTAAAAAAATTCAGAAAATCCATAAAATTTTCCAAAAAATAAAAAAAGTCAGATTTCGGGAAAATAGGAAATTTGTTCATTTTTTCAAAAAAATCAAAATTTCAAAACTTCACAGAATGGCTTAGAATACCGTGGCCACCCACTTTGAGTGAAATTTAAATTTTTATAAGTCCCAAAAAATCAAAAAATAAAAATTTCAAAACTTCACGAGAATGGCTTAGAATACCCGTGGCCACCCACTTTGAGTGAAATTTAAATTTTTTTTTTTTTTTATTTTTGGCACCTAAAAATTTAAATTTCACTTAAAATGGGTGGCCACAAGTATTCTAAGTCATTCAGTAAAGTTTTAAATTTTTTGGTTTTTTTTGGCACCTCAAAAATTTAAATTTTACGCAAAGTGGGTGGCCACAGTATTCTAATCCATTCGTGAAGTTTTGAAATTTTTTATTTTTAAATTTTTTGGGCACCTCAAAATATTTAAATTTTACGCAAAGTGGGTGCACGATATTCTAAGTCATTCGCATGAAGTTTTGAAATTTTTGATTTTTGGATTTTTTGGGCACCTCAAAAATTTAAATTTCACACAAAGTGGGTGGCCACATATATTCTAAGCCATTATGTAAAGTTTTGAAATTTTTGATTTTATTTTTATTTATTTTGGGCACTTCAAAAATTTTAATTTCATTCAAAGTGAGTGGCCACAAGTATTCTAAGCTATTCGCGAAGTTTTGAATTTTTTTTTATTTTTTTGGAAAAAATGAACAAATTTCCTATTTTCCCGAAATCTGACTTTTTTTATTTTCTAGAAGTTTTTATGAATTTTTCTGGAATTTTTCAATTTTTAAGGATTTTTGGAATTTTTTTGGTCGGCGAAAGGCGGCCGGCGTACGATGGTGGCGGGAGGTGGCGGTGGTCGGCAATGGCGGTGGTGGGAGGCACTGGTGCAGGAGACTGCGGCGGCGGCCGGTGAAGGGTAGCGGCGGCGGCGGGTGGCGCCGGCCGATGCGATGGGCGGCGGGTGAGCGACCGACTAGTAGTGAGGGAAAGTGATGAGAAGAACAAAAAATTTTGTTTCTCATTTCACATTCAAAATAAAGAAGCTAAAAATTTTAACTTCGATTTCTCTTTCAATCTATTTCGGAACAAAAATTTGTTCCAGAAATAGAAATTAAAATTGCGTTACTAAACGGTTGTTCCAAACCTATTTCTAACGTAGAATAGAGAAACAGAATTTATCATTCGCAGACCTAAAAGACCAGTCTTTCCTGGCCCACGCCCATTAAGTCGTGCTAGGAACCACCGGATCCAAACACCTACAGGACCAGCGGTGCAAGCCAATAAGTAGCTTTTCAATATCGACGCCCCAATGTCTTATCCATGTGGCAACTTTGGTTCCCTATCCCAATTCTTACATTTGTTTTCTTGAGATATTTTTCTAAATTAGAGAGGCATGGATTAGTCATCAAATGTTCGATTCCATATTATAATAAGAATGTCATATGAAACAAAAGATCCGGGGCTAATTGTTAGAATAACATTATTGTGAAATGTTATATATAAGAAAAGATTTGGTATTATTTAATGAAATTTTCATTGTTGCTAAGTCAAGTGTCGATGTCTAAGTAAATTGCAAGTGAAGTTCATGTCCAAGGTATTCTATTTTTCGGTTTAGTTGTCAAGCCAACAAAATTATGTATGTCAAAGAAATAACGCATTTGTTGTGAATCTCTACAATCGCAGTGCGAAGAAATGGTAGAAAAAGCAAAGGATTAAAGAAATAAGATGTGTTTTCAAGTATCAAAGTTTATAATCGATACTATATGCTTTGAAATTTGATTTTAAGTCACTAAGTATTTTCCCCAAGAAGAAAAAAACCTCAACCCGTTCAACCTGTGCAAGAGTACCCACTTTTTTTTTTAACTGATATCCACAAACTATCTTTTTTAAATAGAACATGTCGGTTTTTGAATAGAAGGCCATGTTAAAAATCCCAAACCATTTTTTATACATAAATATAAAACTACGTGTTAATAAACCTAGCTTATGAATAAATTAATCGTAATCTCACGAAATTCTATATGATATTAGAGCTATATATATATTTCATAAAGACCTTTGATTTGTGATTCAGATAGTAATTTAAATTCTAAATCATCGGTTTCTTCTTGAACCATATAACACGTGCTTAACCTTATGGTGTCGGCTATTATTGGGCTGATGTTGCATGGTTCATAAATCATGTATATTAAGATCATCTAACCTTTAACCATGTTGGTCTCAATGTGGAGTCCACACGAGCATGGTTCCATATGGGGGCTTAGTCCACACGGTCTATCGACCATACAATTCATTTTTCTGGCTTAAAGGCTAACGAGAGGACTTTTGTGTATGGATTAGGTGCACAATGCCAATTCGTCCTCGCACCATCGAGTGCAAACAATTTCATATTTGGGCCGCGTCAGCTGCGCTGGCTTGAACTTGCGTGTTACATGATCCACGAAGTTTTTTTATTTAGTGTTTCATTGGTTCAGGGTTTACCCACTTAGGCGGGCGTTATCCTCCCAAACAAGATTGCACTTGAATAATTACGTCATGAACAACAAGAACTTCCCCTGAAACCGCCCCGTGGAGCCATTCTTTTTTTTCAACGGTTTTGACTTAAAGAACATAGTAAATACTTTACTTTCTTCTTCTCTCTGCTTCCCATGACCACTTGGAATTGGGAAATTTGTAAAGTCAAGTCCAGATTCAGATTTTTACTTTGTTCATCTCGCAAAATGTGCGTATTAAACACTTTGGTCAGATAAGAAGAAAATTATATAAATTTCAAAGGTAAGACAAATAGGATGAGATCGATTTGAATAAAGTCGAACTGGGAAAACTTGTGGGTCGACAAATACCCAAACACGAGCATTCTATGTCCGTTTCAAAGAAGACATAAGCGTGGCAAAGCCGGTCTTACATCTTGATCACATTTATTGAAACATTCTCTTCCACCGACGTGATATATAATAGCGTCAACGCTAAATTAAACCTCCATACAAGAAAGTCCGTCTTATTATAACTGCATTATTAGAAGAAGTTTATCTCTATTGGATCGCACTTTTGACCACTAACGTCCCCGCTCATTCCTATAGGCTACAGGAACGGAAATATCTTTGTCATCTATTGCATTGCTGACATGAAGTAAAGCTAATCAATTCGCAACAGAGCGATTGCATACGCTCTTTGTATGCGAATGTGAAGAGGGGAGACATTGTGAAAATACTCTTAATGTAAGATCCTCGGAAATTCTTATGAATTAGACAGTTCTGGAAACATATGCCACTATGACGAAATTTCTTTTATCAAATGTCTTTTTTTTGGTAAGGTAAGAATATGTATAACTTTCCAAATCACCAAGTACAACCTAAGCCCAAACCAGCTCATGACCATATTAGGACATAGTAATGTCCAAACAAGGTCAAGAGGGTCCAGCAGGAACTATACAACAAGCCGAAGAACGGCTAAGAACATGGAAAATAGAAATAAGAATACAAAGACAACCAATCCAGCCGCGAGAATGGATGGGCGACGCCAAAACTCCGGTAGTCTGCGAGTAGGGCCCCAGGAACAGCCATGCAGCACAAAAATCGGCGGGAAACCATAACCACCACAAGAAGCCGGACCAAACCGAACGATGGAGGTGACGCCCATAACTCCGGAATCCGCTCCAAAAGACACCAGAACAACCATAATCGTCATTAATCAAAGATAGAAGGAGGAAGGTCTCACTTTCTCTGGACAATGCGGTTCCTATAGGTATCCTCAACTGTCCCCATTGAAATAGCTTTGTCCTTCACGACTTTGAAGAGATGCTTACGCATACCAGGGATGAAAACGCTTTTGTTTCCAAATAATGTGACATAGAGCACCAAAGGAAAATCTAGAGATGCGGTGGGCAAACGAAGATCCTCCGCAAACTTTCATAGCCCAGAGGATATGTTCTTGCCAGGGACGATTGCGCCAAGGTAGCCTGCAATGAAAACCCGAAATGTCTGTAGACATGAAAACCCGAAATGTCTCGTTATCATTCAATCGATTCCAGCATGTATCTCGCGGCTTCGTCGATGAAATTTTCGCCATATGCCCAGATTTTCGAGCAATCTTATAAAGCCGCCAGGGAGCTCTTTTACCAGATCTGCGCAGCAATCAAAGGTGGGATTTCTGCTTCCAAGTTGAAGTGCTCTAATCCCGTGATTCCCCGCAGATATCAGTCAGTAGGGGCTTTCTTCTTGCTGCCATAGAAGCGTGAAGAAGTTCGATCATCACGTCAACATTAAGCTTTTTCTTTTGGATCACAGGCCAAGGTCTTCCGATACATATCACAAGTGAGAAGTACAATGACTCGGTTTCGTGTAAGTTGTAATTTGCTATCTCCTCAAACATGTGCAGGGTCAAAACTCGATCATGGGGGGTAAATGCATCCTTGCATATAATGCAGCTTGCTCGAAGCACCATGAAAAAGCTCTTAGGTGGTGTAACTCAGACGAGTTCTCTCGTCTTGTCTGTGCACAGGTCTGGTCTCCTCTCGAGTTCCTCAGGCGTTGTCCGAAGTAAAGTAGGAGGAGGCCATCTGGACATGCTTACCCATATCCTTTTATCCAAACAGGGAGATCGTATATCAGGATTCCCAAGCCAAATGAGGCGGCTATTGTAGCAATCGCGTACGCATAAGCTCGCCAAGGGTATTTGCTTTGTCTCATCGCATTGAACTCGGCCATGAACGTCGACACAGTACTCAGACAGCCTAGAAGTCCAAATTGGATGCCCGTGGCAACTGTGTCACAAGTCTTGGTATTCACCTTCAAAAAAAAGTTTAAGATGATCAGAATACAAATTGATATAACTAGAGCTGTTGATAACTGTCGCATTTAACGTGGATCTAACAAAAGAATAAGCAAATAATGGATTCACGAGATATTAAAGATCACTTTTGTTTCTAAAATGTACACGAACCGGCTCCAGTTAAAGTAGGGTCACCAAACTGTACGTTTCTTCGTAATCTGAACAAATGTCTACCAGTTTCGTCTTACATGAGACAGATATGGAAGTACTATTTCACTCAACAGAGTACACGATATTCAAGCAAATCTGGTGGGGCTTTTAAGATGTGTGAGTCCAGATATTCAGCAAATGGTGCGAGTGTAATGACCCTCCAATGGCTGAAGTATTGGTGCAATTTATCTAACTTGAAATTAGTTTGTGGACTTACTGCTTCCTTCATAGTAGAGAGAGCTGCCATGACACAAGCTGCAGAGACATTGGCAATTAGGGTCCCAAATGGAACCCATTTCAAAAGACCAGTCTTTCCTAGCCCACGCCCATTAAGTCGTGCTAGGAACCACCGGATCCAAACACCTACTGGCCCGACGACGCAACCCAACCACAGTTGAGCATCACTGCCTCCATTTCCAAACTCATGTTTCAGCATAATCGCACTAAGAGCCCATAATGACCCCAACAACAGTACCATCACCAGAATCATAGACAAGTGACGCTTACGGCTGTTAACTCTCCAGCTCTTTGCAGATATGCCATTGCTAGAATTTGTAGGGTGCTTCTTCATTAACCAACGGAAGCCCTTCGCTGTCTCCACCCCGAATTCAATGGAATAGGCTGCAAGAAATAATCCTGCAAAGAATTATAGATATAAGGCTAGTCATTCCATGTCGATGGAATCAGAACATAACACTTGGTACCAACAATCTACCATGATAAAGCTGATGCAACTAAATTGAAAATGTCTGCTTCTTGCGTAAACACTAACGCATAAATCTTCCCATGACTACATACCAATGAGAAATCCCAAGACCGAAAACAGCCACTTGCCATCTGCACTAAGGTCAAGCATCTTCTGATTCCAACCACTAAATGTCGTAAGGCTTCCCAAATAACCAGTTGACAATCCAATTGCCAGAAAATCAGAGACTTCGGATATATCTTGCTTGAATACAACACCAAACCACCCCATCAGAAAAGAACCAACCTGAAATGAAGTATTAAGTCGAAGGAAAGATAAGTACAATCAAGGATCAATTACCATGTGAAATCAAAAGATCAATTATTTCAGTTCCAATGACATAGCTCCAACATCTTGCCGAAATACTAATTCAAAGAGCACAAAATAAGTCATCCAAGTAATCCCATCCTATCCTAGCATGCACCTCATGAACATGTCCCAATAAGCACGTTTGTGTTCGCGTGTGAACTTAAGCACAAAAACTCTGTATGCCATGTGCATGATCTCATCACATTCATGAAGTTTATGCATACGGTTTTCTGTTCATCTGTGTGGGCAGGCAACTGAGAAAGAGAGAGAGAGAGAGAGATGCGACCATGTTTGAAGGAAGATCAAGGTATAATATAGTTGTATCACGTGTCACTCCAGTAACTGCAGGGCCAAATAACTTTTGAAGTAAATACCTTGTTAAGACCTGCAAGTCATGACTCATCAAATGTCAATCTCCGTCTTCTGTGCATAATTTTAAGTTGCAAGCCAAGACAGCAATATTTAACAAATAAAACCTGAGAGAACGGACATGACGAAGAAAAACAAAAATTTAGCCAAAATGGAAGCATCGGAGCTCATCAGGAAGCTATTAGAATAACTAAGCATGAAATTCTGCAGACTATACTTATCATAGTTTACCACCAGCCTACCTACAGATCAGTAAAAAATATGTATACTACAAATCGGACAAAAAAGACAAAATGACTCTCATGAATAATAAATAAACGCTGATACAAAATTCAAAGGGAAAAGAAGCTTCAGAAGGTACTTAATGGGCTAGAAAAGTCAGTCTTTACAGTCTTCACTACTAGCTTGGTGATAACTTACTAAAACTCAATGGTAAATGCTACTGCTGAGACATAATATGTTTCCTTTGCTCATAAATAACAATTCACACGAGCATCCATACTGACCTCTCTCTCTCTCTCTCTCTCTCTACGTAGGTCAATTGAATTTTAGATCCACAATGGTGTGTGCAGACTTGCTGTAATGATCATCACTGCTAGCGAATAGCCAAGTCATTCCAAAGAGAAGAGTAGCCACAAACTTAATCTATAAGACATGATCTTCTTGATCAAGTCATCACCTATCAATACAGTAATTTAGTGCAGGGTACTAGTAAGATGGTTGATGATAAAGAAGTATCATTCCGAAGTTAAGGACAGAGCCAATACAAAATGTACTGACACAATCCTTGATGGGAGAGTGTATAGTTGACTAACATGGGACAGGCTTACTAAGACAATGCGTAGAACTCTCAATCCTGAAAGCACATTATCATAGAGCTAGTGGAAGCATCCGTAGGATGAAGACACTCACAATATTTAGTAAAATTATCTTTAATTCAATCCAGCAAACAGAACAATGCATCAGGAGCTTTTACAGATAAGATTTTTGTTGCTCACCTAGAAGCATTAGACTATTAGTGACCACCCTTAGAAACGAGTTTTTGACAAGTCATTTTCAAGAACGAGAGTTAGGGACTAGATCTTCCTAAGCCAGAATTGGACCTTTTGTATTTAGATGGAAATACCATGTTTACTTACGTGAATCCCCAAGCCAATGGAAGTTCTAACATATATTACAGCTATTGTTCAGGGCTCTTGAATGATATACTGCCTTCCAACATCAAGAATCTTAGCAGGTGACACATGAGAAATCTCCCCAAATTGTTCCTAGAAAGTATCAATTCTTCACATGGAAACACAGGAAGTATCGCCATTTCTAATGTGGAAATACTCATATCATTTGGATCGATCCAGGATTAGTTCAAATATTCTTTTCAAGGCTAGTCCAAAATTTCCAAAAGTTGAAGCAGTACATTACCCCTAGAATCCCAAAAACAGCAAGATGAACAAGACATGATATATACTCCAATGACTGAGGCAACACTTTCTCTTCATCCTGCACAGTAACACAGATAAAATTACTTTACTGGAAAGGAATATGAAAGATGTCGATGTCAAGATATAAACAGCAAGATAAATAGAAAAGCTCTTGAACTCACCTTTTTTTTGTCTACGGGCCTCAAGATTCCATCAGTTGATAGAGGAGATATGATCTCTTCCACCATGGGTGATACAGGGGAGACAGAATTCAAATTCGACGGATCGCGAGACCAGAAACCAATTGGATGCAGCAGGGTGTCCTCTTGAGTTGGAAAAACTATTCCATTCTCTATAGCATGATCTGTAGATAAACGCACACTGCCACTTTCACTGTACCTCTTATTGCTAAGAGCCCGATCCCCGATATCGCCAGCCTCTGAAACCATCTCACTTTCAATGTCATCATTCAGCTGATTGGGAAACACACTTGACAAACTCAACGAGCGTCGTCTCAATGAGGAACCAGTGCTGCTTGTCCTGCCGTGAGACATGCTTCGTCTAGGTTCCCGGTCATCATTCTCGAGTTCCATGTCCCACCAGCAGAGCTATGTACTATCAAATGATTTTGCAGTAGCTGCAGAATCAGCAGGACAAATATGTAACAGTATTTCCAGAGATTTCGCAAGAAATGTACATCATAGTACGTAGGGCTACTCACCTATTGTCCTTGTCTACTTTTCTAAACTCAATATTATTCAACGGTTCCCCCTTTACATAATCCAAATAAAACGTGGCCAGACATACAAAAAAGGGGACATTTCACAAGGCAAAATGGCAAACATACCATTAGACAGGGGAGAGAGATTTGCTAGTAGAGGTCACTTTACAACATATCAAACTGATGGATCGCCTCCCAGGCTCCCACCATATTGACAATAATTATGTAAATAGTTCAAAATGAAATGCATAATCAGATTGTGATACATCACTAAAAGTAACAATGTCATGTCAAAAACAGAAAACGAATTGTTACCTACGGGAGAAATAATGGAGAAGTTAACTTTAACACTACACATGCGACGTGAAAAGCATGAGGCCCTCAATATGGCCCATATTTAACCATGGATAAACAATGTAATGTACTAGAGTGAAGTTTCCCATGGAGAAGAGACCCTGGCGCAATCCGTGAGCTCATTCTGGCTGTTTCTCACCACATATACAGATATGAAGTCCTTCCAGTCACAAGTTTGGTCCCACAGTGCCCACACGATTCCTGCCATATAAACTCCTCAAATGTTTAGATATGGCAGGAAGATGATCGATTCCGATCCCAGGCACAAGCTAATTTATGTGCTTGACAATAATAATTCTTCACCAGAAGTGTCCTTCATCGACATCCCATAAAATACCGAATTTTGCTGACGACACTCGAATTAAGTAAATCCTGGGATAAGCTTATTATAATCACAAGCTCTGACCAAGTCTAGCTGGTTGGTTAGGTGCCGAATTGGACGGTTTGCTCTCATCTCCCGCATGCGCATAATTTGTTCTTATTTTAATTTGATCTAAGTGCACTGTTAATCCCTTGTTTTTTCTATTGACTTGAAAAGGTGAATAACATGACACGGAACTAATTTGGCGGACACCAGAACAAAGGGAGCAAGCTTGGGCAATCATTGAATCAAAGTTGCGTCTGCTTCTAACTGGCATCAAGATTCGCAAATTGACATCTTTCGCAAGATGTTAAGACGACGTGCCCCGCGATGCTCGGCGTCAAAGACGAGAGAGACAGGACCGAACAGACCGAGCATTCCCAATGCCTTTCAATGTCTACTGGTTATTGAATTGGCTTTACAATTAAGTATGGACATCTACAGAATCTGGAAGCGCCAGAATTGGACAAACAACTTCATTCACATATTCAAACGCAATCTTCAACGAGGTTTTTGTCTAAGCAAATATAAGACTGTTTAATGATGATGACCCTGCATCAACCTCGTTAGAAAGAGAGAATCTTTCAGACGTACGAGATGTCGGCTAACTTTTAGTGCTCTTTTCCTATTGAAAATAGAGAGAGAGAGAGAGAGAGAGAGCATACCGTGCGTAATGACTTTCATGGGAGACCCAGATAGAAAAGCCGATCAGGTTCGGTTCAAACCCTTCCGCTGAAATGCCGAACGCGCTACCGAAGAAACGCCACCGTGTCCCACACGCAACTCACGCTGCGCCGGTCGTCCCCTCCGAGCTTTAGACCGGACGGAAAATTCCGAAAATGGAGAACGAACGACGGAGGGGGCGAAGAAGCCCAGAGAGAGAGAGAGAGAGAGAGAGAGAGGGAGAATGTGAACAAAGAACTTCTCGTGCTCGTTGAGACCTCGGCGAACGAAGAATCGCAGAACGAAGTTCGGTCGGAAAATCTTGAGGTGAAAGGCAGTCCCTCCGCGACGGAGCTCAGGCGGACCGCTTCTCTTCCAGGAAGTGGCTTAGGGATCTGTGGAAGCTTTTATCGGACGAAGGTGGTTGCAGAAGCTCTGCAGGTGCAACAATGGCAGCTTTCATCGACATGCCAGCGATCATTTGCATGCAGAGAGAGAGAGAGAGAGAGAGAGAGAGAGAGAGAGAGAGAGAGAGAGACGGCGATGTCCGCAGTTTGCCACGTGGGCGGTGCTGAATTGCCTCTCGTCCTTCGACGAGTTTTACGTTTCGAGTCGTTTGACTTTGAGAAAGCGGCCGCAACGAAGAAGAAATAATTCTAAAATGCTGTTCTATCTTTTGACTATTACTAATGCAGTTATCGAAAACTATATAATATACACAATTTCTTTTGGTGAAATTTAACGAAAAAATTGTCATTTCTTGCTGTACTTAAATGAGGCGTGCACGCAACGCAACGATGGGTAATTACTAATTAGCAAGGTTTTCATAAAGGAGTTTTTCTAGGTACATAATTTATTTAATCCTTTTATTATATGATCGGGATATGTTTACTAGAAATCCTAAAACTTGTCACAAAAGTGCAATTGAGTCTTAAAACTTCAAAAAGTGCAATTAAGTCCAAAAATTTATCAAATTGGTTCAATCGAATCTTAAAGTTAACACCGTCAAACTTATTAACGGAAAATACTGACGTGGCTTATTTTAACAATTTATCTGTCCTACGTGACGATGACAAGGCTAAAGTATGAAACATACGACTAAAACAACGTCATTTTAGCCCAAATTTAATTTTTAATATTAATTTTATTTAAATTATATATAAAAATAAGGTAAAAAAAAGGAGGAGGAGACAGGCGTGGAGGGCTGCAAGCCCTCACCCCCACCGCCGCCGCCGCCGCCTCGCCATCGCCAAGACAAGCCGGCGAGGGTGGGGGACAGCGACCAAGGTCGCCGAGCCTCGGCCAGGGGTCGCCGCCCTCCCCCGGATCTGGCTGAGGGCCAACGACCCTCCCTAGGTCTAGGGGAGGGTCGCGACCCCTCGCCTGTCGTCCCTTGGCCAAGTCCGACCACCCCCTCCTTCCTTCATCTGTTGGGAAAACCCTTTTATGATATTTTGAAGATGATAAAACCATTTATCATGATTATTATTTGACTATTTGCATATTTGCTTTGGTGTCTTAAACGGGTGAAATAAAGAATATTATCAATATGACAAGGACATTGCGAATAAAGAACCGGTTGTGTGGACATAAACATCAAGCCACTGATATAAGGATTAAATTTCTAGTACAGGAAGTTGCCTATATCCACTGGACGTACGGCTCATCGAATTTGAAAAGAAGACCCAGACTAAATTTGAATTTGTCCTTAAATTCAGACTAGCACCAATGGCCAATCGCAACCTTGAATACCCAAGTAAAGGAGTCTTAGTTGGTTCACAGCTTCTTCAATAAGTTATGAACTAGAAGACAGAAGAAGCTACATTATATGGGAAAATTACCAAAAAAGTTATAAATCTATTACAATTGTGCCAATTCAGTCCTAAACTTTTTTTCCATCAATTCAGTCCTAAACCTTTTGCAATTGTGCCAATTCAGTCCATCCGGCCACTTTTGGCCGGCCGGCGCTGATGTGGACGCGCGGGCGGCTGACGTGGCATTATTTTAATTTTTTTATATTTTTTCGAATTTTTATTTTATTTTTTCTTTCATTCTTCTCCCTGGCCGGTCCGGCCAAGGGGGGGCTCGCCGGCTACTGGGGAGGCTTGCCCTCGTCGGCACTGGCGAGGGCGAGCCTCGCCATCGCTGGGCAAGCCTCGCCCAGCTCCAGCAAGGGCCGGCGAGGGCGGAGCTCGCCCAGCCATGGCAAGCTCCGCCCTCACCTCGCCCAACGACGGCGAGGCTCGCCCTCGCCAGTGCCGGTGAGGGCGAACCTCCCCAGTGGCTGGCGAGCTGGCCCTAGCCCCTGGCCGGTCCGGCCACCAAGGGAAGAAGGAAAGACAAAAAAAAAATAGAGAAAGGAAAAAAAAATTCGAGCTTCGCCATCGTCGGCCCTCGCCGTCGCACAGCCATGGCGAGGCTCGACCTCGCCAAATCTAGGCGAGGTCAAGCTCGCCCAGCGGCGGCGAGAGCGACTCGCCATGGCTGGGCGAGGGCGAGCCTCCCCAGTGGCCGGCGAGGTCACTTCGCCGGCCAAGGGGAAGAAGGAAAGAAAAAAAATAAAAAAAGAGAAACGAAAAAAATCAAAAAAAAATCAAAAAAAAATATTAAAATAATGACACGTCAGCCAGCCGGTTGGCCAAAAGTGGCCGGATGGACTAAATTAGCACAATTGCAAAATGTTTAGGATTGAATTGGCATAATTGCAATAGATTTAGGACTTTTTTGATAATTTTCCCTACATTATTTTGATCAAGGAAAGTGGAATATTAATGATCTGGAGTCAATTTAGGAAGGCTATCGAAGATCTTTTTGGACGCCTAACAGCTCATAGCTGAAGTGGAAATATATAAATAGCAAGTGGCGAAAAGATCACATATTTGAGGACTTGATACAAAGATATCTTCAAGCACTAAATGGTGCCTCCTCCACTACTCTTTAAAGAATTGCAAAATATTCGTACTGGAAGATTGAGAACACCTTCGGCAATTGATAATGTGACCAAACCCAAGAATTGATTTAAATATTAATAGGGAGCCATTGGAGATTATAAAAAATGCAAAGGAAGGCCACGCATGGCTAGGCCTTGGGAAGATCTCAAACATTAAAGAAATGCAACGAAGCTACGCGGGGGAAAAGAAGGCCACGCATGGAATGTGAGCCTTGGAAGAATGTTGTCCCATTCTCTGCTAACGGCTCTTGAAGACGTCAACGTTCAATGGTGTATATAAAGAAATACGCAACAAGCTGCAGGATATCAAGAGCAAGCAACGAGAAAGCGTACGAGATCAAAAACAAAAGAAAAGCCTGTCTTTGCCTTAATTCTTTCACGCCTTTGAGCTTTCCGATTCTGTTTCTACCACTGCTCATATACAGAATTTTTCTGTCGCTTGTAGTCTGAAGGTTGAGAGGTGTACAAGCATGTAAGTTGTGAGTGTGAGTTGATAGAGTGTTCTATCAAGTTTCGGGGGAGAAACAACTCAAACTTCATTGTAACCTATCTTGGAGACTACTAGTGGAATCCAGCCTTATTGGTGACTATTAGTCTGGGAGAGTGGACGTAAGTTTGATATAAGTCGAACCACTGCAAATTCGGTTTGCAATATCATCTATCTCTTCACTCATTTATTGATATATTTCTGATAGAAGAATAATGCAGTTGATATAAGCACAACATTGATAATCCATGTTTATATTCCAGTTCAGTTAGCAATAACTTGCTCAAATTTGCAATATTTTTATTAAACAACCTATTCACCCCCCTCTAGGTTGTATTGTTAGCCTCAACATCCTCTACCCTCGCCGGCCCTTCCCGGTGATGGTGAGACGGCGGCAGCGGCGGGGAGTGTGACATCCGAAAAATCTCCCTGTATTTATTAATATGTAAGAATTTAGATGCAATAATTATCGCATGTGGAAATCCTAGTCGAATGATTAACGTGGCGGTAACGGAATGCTTGAGCTAAATTGTTATGTCCGTAATTTCGGCAATTGGACCTACTAGCAATTAATTATTGAATAATTGCTTATGGATTGATTTTCTAGAGTGACAATGATACGTGTATCGCCACCTTAGTTATTAACAGAGATTGTTATGCTTGGAAAATTTTTACCATTTGAATGTTAAGTTGGTAATGTACTAAATTGGGTATTTTCTTACGTTCGAAAAATTTTGCTAAAATTTTGGACATGTTCAAAATATTTTCTGAGTTATCAATGTTTAAAATGGACACTGATTTTTTCTTATTTTAATACCGATACGGCTGTCGTTTTGGCAATTATTAAATATCTATTTTGCGAACCATTTGATTTAAGCCATTTGTCTCTCATTGGAGCTTGCCACCTCTTCATATTTACTACCAATGGTTCCAATCCACATGCATTGATGACATTATACTTAGCCTAAGCAAATGACATAGCACATTACATCATCAATTTTAACCTTACCTCATTAAAAGCAAGTGATGAATCATCTCCTTACTTGGCAAATGAAGAAGAGGTTCCCTCAAATATCTCCTCTTGTGGCCAATACCATTAAGCCAATTGCACCCTAGATATTAGCATAGAGGCCACATGAACTCATTTCATTGGAACAAATTGTCTCTCTACTTTCAGGCTTCATGATTTTACCCTATAAGCATTTATTACCTTAACCATGGTTAAATAATTTCATCCTTTCATTTCTTGCGTAGCCATGTAATTAAATTGAAAGAGAACTCTTAAAGATTCACCTCGCCGATCAACTTTCCACTTCCCTTCAACTTTCACTTTCAAGTTCCAAAGAGACATTCTCTTCTTGTTTCCTTTGTCTTCAATAACCCGAGTAAAGGTGTCGGCCCCATACTCGTGTCATTAAAGCCCTGATCTTAATTTCTCGGGTTTGAATGAGGTAACCATTAGAATTTCCAACTACTTTCCGTAAATGAGTTTTGTCGTTTATGAAATAAGAACTATTGATTCTCTATTTTGTTCATTTTCATTGAAGGAAGTTAAAGCTTTGGTCTTTTGTGCAATTATTCAAGGTAAGTGAAAACTCTAGACGTTAAGTTAGGTTGTTCTAATGAGTACTTGACTTGATTGGTTGATGGTTGTTATATTTTGTTTCCCTTCGTTGTCAAGCATAGGTAAGTTTTAATGATGGTATGTGAAA